ACATCTACTCACTATTTAGGAGGCACTGTGGTGAAATAAGGTGCTCATCAAAACAATGAGATCGAAAATACCTGCATTTTTTCCTGCCAGTCTGGCAATTTTTTTTATCCCACTTTTGTTTTTTGGGCTTAATACCTTTTTATTTCAGGTTCATCTAAAAATACATTTCTGTGTGGATTTTACTGAAAAAGATTGATTATAGGCACAAAAAATGTAAATTTTCAGTTTTCAATGACTCCCAAGCTATGGAAATCACCTCACTTTGGTAGCTATTTTATTGCTAATTTTACCCCTGAAACCAGGCAACCCCATCCCCAACAATCATTAAACATCTCAACTTCTATTCAAGATGGACGATATTTTTTTCCATCAAAAGATAGACAAATGAACAGGTTTTAAAAAGATATCAGTATCTCCACATGCCCAAAAATTGAAGAGCGCCTCATTCTACTATGCCATGACATATTTTGTCACACACACACACAGATCACACAAGTTAGAGACAAATATCGGCTAGCCAAATTACCATTTACATTTTTAGAGGCCGCAAATGTTTTATGAGCTCATCAATACAATTTAGATCATTTAGGAGGCAGACTGCTTTCACCCTGCCTGTCAAAGCTAACCCTGGCTTAAAGGGATACAGCACCTCAGCAGACAAACAGACAGAGATACCCGGGAATCGAACTCACATCTATTGTGCGCCTACATGAACATTAAGCCACCCACATGCTTAAGGGAAATTATATTGTTCGACAACTTTAGAGAAATTTCAATAACAATAGCAGGAAATTTGGCTCAGGGCCGCTTTCCGGAAAGAGTATTCTTTATATGACCAGATTAATCTTTATTGAGTACACACTGGCAGATTGGTTTGCTGTTTTACCTCACATACATATACTCTCTCATGCTCCCTCTCTTCTACAAATACATATACACACATGTGAGGCATTGCGGTGAAATCACGGTGAAATCAGGAACTCGTCAAAATACTGAGATCGAAGAAATCGGCATTTTTCTGCCAGTTTGGAAACTTTTCTCTAATTTTTACTGTTTGGCTCAATGCCCTTCATGTCTGTTTAAAAACACATTTGTCTGTGGAATTCAAAGGCAAAAAAATTGCAGATTTTCAGTTTCCAAGGACTCTCAAGCTTTAAAAGTCACCAAACTTTGGCGGCCATTTTTCCTTTTTTTTTACATCTGAATCCAGGAGACGATTACCTCCTTCAAACGCAAATATCTCGACTTCTATTCTAAAAAGATTGGAACCTCTTTTCATTCTAAGCAAGACAAATTAACAACCTTTAAGATGATACAAATAACTATACGTGCCCAAAAATTGACGAGCGCCAGATTCCACCGCGTCATGACACATATAATAAACGCTTACACTCACAAGCAGACCCACAGTCATATGTTTATGATATAAATGAACAATAACTGTTTACAATAATAATGTTAAAGTTGGATACATAATCAGTATTCTGATAGTATTCCAATAGTACTCTGATGGTACAGGCTTTTTAAAGGCAATAAAACATACTTATTTCATAGTGCACAGGAAGACAACTGCTTAACTTAGTATGATGCCAATGGGTCAGTTCTGGCTGCTTCTTATTTTGTTTTAATATATATATATGTATTTTGTGGCACGTACAACACAATTAATAAGGTTGTACGAGTGTCGAAGATTAGAGGCATTATGAGAGAGTAACAAACACAAAAAAGAAGGAGGGGAGATAAGGAAGATAGAAGTTTGATAGGAAAGAAGGAGCAAACCACAGCAGAGCTCCTGCCAGCTACCCACGGCTGCCTTTTACGGTTTTGTGCATACAGGAAGATAAACATATGAGGTAATTATTTCACCATAAACCTTTTTGAAAGTGTATTCTGGGCACAATTTAGATGTCACATTTCAAGCACAAAACAGGTTTACTACATGGATAAAGAATATGCAACACGACGCGGTGGATTCAGGCGCTCATCATATGGGGTTATAGGTAATCACTTAAAGCCTGTTTATTTGCCTTGTTTTTTGTGAAAAAAAAACTATCTATGTTGAACAGAGGTCGAGTTATTTGCGTTTGAAGGAAGCGAGAAAATGGCTGCCAAAGTTTGGTAACTACCACTGGTTGAGAATCCTAAGAAACTGAAAATTTACAGCTTTTGTTCCTTAAATCAATGTTTTTCATTGAAATTCACACAGAAATGAGTTTTGAAATGGACATAATAGGCGTTGAGCCAAAAAATATTTTGACGAGCGCCTGATTTCACAACGATGTCTCACGTATGGCATTCTCTATGAGTGTATCACACACATTAAAGGGAATCATAATATAAAAATAACCCATCGAGGAGTACCTGCAGGTTGATGGTTCGTTACTGAATCAGATAAAATACACAAACAAAACGTGAATGAGGAATACACTTCCTCAATGAAAAAAAGGAGGAAGGGTTTAACGAAATAAAAAAAGTACAAAGCAAAACCAAAAACATGAATAAGGGACATGATTCTGCAATGAAAAAGGGGGAAGAAATGTTTTTTAAACAAAGCAATCCCCCCCCCAAAAAAAACTCCAAAAACCAAAGACACACTTAATAACTTTAAATCCTCTGCTCTAGCACGACCAAAGCAATCGCAAAGTAGAAAAAAAAATCTTTCAGACAGAAAAAACGTGAAAGACAAAATATCACTGACATCCAAATTCAAAAGAGCAATAAAATTGGTTACAGTGATATTTATGTCGCATGTAGAAATGAAGAACTGCACACATATACAGGGTTGTCCGCAAATCCACCGCCATTTTGGGACCCATCATTCCCCCACTCGTCAACGGTTCCGCAGCCCGGTGAAATCAGGAGCACGTCAGGTTTTAGGCATATTGAGTTACTGTTATAACCTTTAGTTTTTAGTTTTAGTAGAGGTTTTACGGCACTCACAACTGCATAAGGTCATATGAGCACCAGAAGATTAAAGGTGTTACAAGAGAGTAACAAACATAAAAAAGAAATAGGGGAGATGAGGATGATAGATGTTTCATAGGAAGCAAACCACATCAGAGCACCCGCCAACCATCCACTGTTATAACCGTAAAGCCTGTTCATTTGCTTTGCTTTTGGTAAAAAAATTTTTTTAAATGCATCTATCTTGAACTTGAATAGGAGTCGAAATATTTGAAATTGAAGAAGGTGAAGGTTGCCTGGTGTCAGAGGTCCTTGGAAACTGAAAATTAACATTTTTTTGTGCCTTTCCGCAACATATTTTAGTAAAATCCACACAGAAATGTAGTTTTAACTGGATGCGAAAGACGTTGAGCCCAAAACAAAACAAAAAATTAATAAAGAATGCCTAACTGGCAAAAAATGCTGATGTCTATGATCGCATTATTTTGACGAGTGCCTGAATTCACCATGATACTTCACTTATTCAGCAGACGCTGGGCGGTATAGAAAATATTCAAGTTCAATTTTACCCTGAAAATGTACCTGCTATACCAGTCATCCCTGTAATATGGTTCAAGTAAAGGGATACAAGAACAAAAAATTCACACGACTTCTTTAGAAATTAAAACTCCCACATTTTAATGCCCATCACCATCCATCTCTGATAATACTGAGCCCAGAAGACTGCAAGCCTTAAAAACTCCCTAAACAACCCTTGTTTCAAGATTTCTCCATTGCGGATTTGAATCAAAACCCAACATGATATTACTAGATCTAGTGCTGGTATTACACCCTTCACTTTCAAAAATCTGATTTCATCATTTTTAAGCAGAGCAGAGGAAACAGAAAAAAAAAAGGAATTTGGCAAGTTTTGAAACAAAAGATCTTCAATTATGAGACAGATTTACTTATTCTTGGCCTTTCTACATCCAAAGTCCCAACTCCCAACACCCATTAATGATAAAATAAATAGAAAAACGTAACTTACAGAAAGCGATCATACTGAACAAAATGTCGTACACCTTGCAACCAAATGGCCAAGCAACCTTTGGCTCCTGCTACTTCAAAATGTTAGCAAAGGGAGGTAGTGCAGAAACTTAGACAGTATAAGTACGCGTATGGGTCAAAACTATTAATTCATTCAAGAGGAACTCCGAATCTAACATCAGTCTATTAAGAAAATATTGGCCCAACCCTAAGTAGAGAGACCCAAAACTCTATGGGGGACCTGGGGAACCTGCGGAGAACAGCATGTCCTCTTAGAGAACAAGAAGACTATGGTCTCCAGTACGAGCGAGCGAAACGGGTTGAAAGCCTTGAAAACTCTACAAACCAACAGCAGCTCAAGTGTAAGATTCCAACCAAGGTCATGTGCTCTGTAAGCCTGCATGATACCAGCTGAGCTAACAGAGCACCCAGACACTTACAGCTCAGTCATAGGGCAATAAAGGGGTGGTAATCATGAAAATATATAGTCAGGTTTACAAGTCACATAACACATTTACATCCCTTTATTGCCACACGTCGGGTCTTTTAGGAAGAGTTTTACGACACTTGTGAAACAACAAAAAAAAGGTCTAGGTCGTATCAGTTATGAAGATTAGAGGTGCTACTAGAGAACAACAAACCCCCAAAAAAGAAGAAGGAGAGATAAGTATGCTAGACGCTTGATGGGAAAGAAGGAGCAAACCACCAATCACCCACCATGACAGGTGCAAGTCACCTCAGTGAAGCTGGTGAAAAACAACCAGCCGATACAACCTCTCTCACTATGTGTGTGGCATAGCGGTGAAATCAGGCGCTCGTCAAAATAATGAAACTGAAAAAAACAAACCCATACATTTTCCACCTGTTTGGGCAATTTTCATTAATTTTTGTGTGTCTTGAGCTCAACACTTTGTAGCAATATCTGCCCCACCCCCCCCCCTTGCGGTAGACTCACTCCATCCAGTGTTAACCCTGGGAACATGCTAACTTATAGCATTGTTTTTTGTGTGAGCCCCATGTATCCTACATCAATATGCACGGGAGAATTTGAGGTGTTCACTACTGAAGAATTTTTTTCTCTATATCTTCAGCGAGAGTCGACTTTTTATAGAAGAAAGAGGACTGGACGGTCGCGAAACCGAAACCTGCTGAACGGCACCATGATTTTACGACTCTCTTTATTTGGAAAGTGCAGAGACCATCTCAATATTACCCGAACATCCCCAAATTTGGCAACCAATGAGAAAAAAATAGATCTTCCCTTTGTGGATTTCTGTTTTTTTAATCAATCAGGAAAAAAGAAAGTTACAAGGTAGTCTCTTGGAGGATATTGTTTTCGAAAATGTGCAGTCAATTAATCCGCAAAATGCTCATGCAACATCTCACTCAGGCTGAACTCTTTAAAATTTGTAGCTATTTGTGAAATTCTTTATAAAACAGTAGAATTTTGAAAAAAATAAGGTTGATTTTGTTCCCGTTTTTCGCGTGGCCTGAAAGCCAGAATGGCTCCAATTCCACAGGGTAAGGCAAGCTGTGCCGAGGAGCACTGACGGACATGGCTACAAGTAAAACATAGTGACTGTTTGAAATGGAGGTTAATTGTTGTAAAGCTGTCACGGGGACACACGAAGGATATAGGCCAAGTTTTACGACACAGGGCACGGTCTCAAGGCAGCTTGACACAAAACTTAGACCACCATTTTCTCGCTAATTTTACCTCTTGCGTCTATCTCCTTCAATCTCATATATCTCGATTTTTATTCAAGATAGACAGATATTTGTTTCACAAACCCCCCCAAAAACAACAGGCATATGAGCAAAAATTGTAGTAATAACTCCATTACACCCAAAAACTGACGAGTGCCTGATTCCATCGGGTTGTAATCTTTGCTGCTACTGATTGCAAGAAAAGAGAAAAAAAAAATTTAGGACAATAGAAAAGAGACAAGTTTTGTTTTGCTAGACTCGTGTTGAGCTCTTCTACAATTCAAAACAGTAGGAAACTACTGCAACAATCAATCTTACCCTAAGAGTCTGGACATAACCAGCTAACCATAAAGACTGGTTACCAATCGTGGAAAGACTCAATTTACAACAGCAGATTTTTTTACCAACAGCTTGTAACGAGCAAGGCTTGCAGGATATTTTTCAGGTTCTACATCTTGGTGCTAAACCTTTATTCGGGAGCCGAGGCTAATGCAGTCAAAGTGGAAAAAGAAATGCACTTCCAAACTGACTACATCTCAATCAGAAATAAAAAAAGCAAACAAGAATACAAAACAGGAAGGGGGAGGGGGGAATATGTAAAAAAATCCTCTGAAAGCTTGGGGACTGGACGATACAGCGTGTTAAGAGTGGTGGAAATTTGCTGAAAAGTAGTAGTAGCACCTGGATACTCAGTCCTTCAGCCATCTGTCCACTGCGACCTTTCACCTTCCTTCAGCGGACCAGCAAACCACAAACCTTGTGTTGGCTGTAGAACAAAGTGACCCGTCCTGTATCATCACCTGCCGGTGGTAGACAGCTCTTCAGCCTCCACCTCTCACAGCTGTCGAGGCAACCGCCACTGCCATTGCGACTGCGCAAGGACTCACAGCAGTCAAAACAAGTCATGAATTGCATGAGCTACGAAACTCATTTGGATGTAATAACAGGAAGCTCTCCCGGAATGCTGGAGCCTAGAAATGTCCGTTGATGCTGCCATCTCGGCGTACACCTTTCAGGCGATTCACCTCCTCTGTCAGCGAGAGGTTCCGCCGTGCCAGGTTCTCTGAGTGCTGGCGCAGGTAGCGGATCATGTCGGCCTGTTTCTCCATCACCTGGTCAATCTCATTGCCGTTCCTGGAGGAAACGAGCAGATGGGAGTCTAGTTTTAGTAAAGAGTTCCACAAGTGCCAAAGAGTAGAGGTGTTACAAGAGTAACAAACACAAAAAAAGAAGGAGGGGAGATAATGACGATAGATTTTTTATAAGGAAAGAAGGAGTAACCACACCAGAGCACCCGCCAACCACCCACAAGACGGGAGTTTGAGGAAGACACACAATAAGCACAGACAAAATTGTTTAAGACAGCCACTCACTGTCAAGGACAGAAGTGGTCGTCTCACGCAGGAGGACACCTTACACAGTGTCATTACAATGAAAACATGTGTCAAGGGAAGAAAAGTGAAGTGGCCATTTGAACAAGTCCTTGTCTTATAAGCGATGCCCATTGGCAGGATTGGTTTAGTTCAGTTTAGTCATTGGGGCCCTCCAGATTTTCCTTTATGGAGGGGCACAAGTACTATAGTGGTACAAGCCTAATAAAACTGAAGATAATCTTCAAAAACAAATGTGTTTCTTTTCATGGCCGCTAGCTCGGCGACAGGTTTGACGCAGGGGTCTATTTGTAGTGTGCTCTGAAGCTGCCAGATTTCAAACCAAACAAATCCTCGATGCATCTTCTTTTTTGTTGGAAGTTTAAAGTTCTAATTACATAATACTCTTAAGGGTATGTCATTTGGTCTTTCATCACGGCAAAAGAGAGAATGAGAAAATTTTGGAGCCCATTCAGACGCAAACCCGGATGTTTCTTACGTCGGTTGAGTTCACATTTAAATTATCAAATGTTTCCTCGCCACGGAAGGCCAACAAGCACAGCCTTCCCAAAACCTGACACCAAGTGACTTAAACAAATGTTCATTGACACAACATCAGCTTTGGAAAAAAATTCTTTTCAGTCTTCAATATGTTAATTCTTCAAATTCTTCTATTATACTGGAGAAATATTCTCCACTGACAATACGTCAGACAATGACGGATGAGCTGTAATTATAATTATTATCACTATTATCCCATACAACCCACCGGTAGCCCAGGTCAGTGGCCGTGTTGACAAAGCTGGTCATCAGCTCCTCCTGGTGGACGTCCGGTAAAGCCTTCTTACTGTTGAACTTGACCGTCCACGCTGAACAGACACACAAAACAGTTTTTTAAAGTACAGAAAAGTACATTGAATAAATAATGGGGATTCAATTTTGTTTCGGTCAGAGATTTTTGGCACTTGCAACACAATTAGGCGTTACAAGAAAGTAATAAACACAAACAAAAGGAGGAGGAAAGATAAAATAGATGTTTGATTGGAAACAAGGAGCAAACCACACCAGAGTACTCGCCAACTTACCACACTTACTTTTGTTGATTCGTTTTGCTTTGGCAAAGAGAATTAAACGGACACAATAATGAGTATTTAATGTAGTTTTGTGAGTTTGTAAAAGAGAAGAACATCGACCCGGTAAAGGTCATTTACAAAGGGAAAAAGCAACAAAAAACAAAACAGGCAGACAGAAATAATAGATGGAAACAAGTCTGAGCCACAGTGGGGTTATTATAACATGTGTTTCATTATGGTGGAATCGGGTGCTTATAAAAATATTGAAATCAAAGATACCTACACTTTTCTGACCTAAGGGCAATTTTATAGAATTTACTAAATTTTTTTGTTTGTTTTTCTGGCTCATCACCTTTTATGTTCCTTTGGAAACACATTTCTGTCTGCACAAAATAGGTAAATTTGAAGCTTTAGGAAGTCGGCAAACTTTGGCAGCCATTTTCTCGCTAATTTTACCTCTCACACCAGGAGACCCCTCGCCTCTTTCATTCTCAAATATAATAATAATAAAAAATAGTATTTGTACAGTGCATACCCCTGCTCAACAGCAAGCTCTATCCGCTTTACACTATATTATTATCCCATCAGACCCTATATCACTCAAAAATATTCCCCGCTTTGAGGGGAGCATGCAGTGCAAGCAGCCAATTAAGCACTGAAACAGTAACAAACTGACAAGATCTTTCGCTGTCTATAGCTGGGTATCCTTTCTCACCTGGATGAAGTGAGGAAAATTTGGGTAAAGTGCCTTTCCCAAGGGCCCCTGACGAGGTGTTATGGTTGCAAGTCCGAGAGCCTAACCACTGGGCTACCAATGCCACACTATTCAAGATAGATGTGTTTTTTTTCCTTATCAAAAGCATGACAAATAGATAAGCTTTTATTTCATCTCAACAACTCTATATGCCCAAAAAATTGATGAGTGTCCGATTCCACCTTGTCGATGCACATGTTAATTAAGGCTGTAAAACCCTATACTACATACATAAGGCAAAAAATGGAAGGAAAGGCTTATTTTCAGGATGACAACGACAGTGAAAGACATCAATTGATCTCACAGCGAAAAATTCACACGAGTAGCATTTAACAGAAATGAATATTGATTACTAGTCCACAAACTCACAACTTTTCTTCTTCTCTCCCTTTGCTTTCCTCTATACTCTCATAACCCACTCAGTTAGTCTTAGTAGAGGTTTTATGGCGCTCGCAACCGCATAAGGTCATATGAGCACCAAGGGGTGGATGTCAACAGAAAAGTCCTTACAGGGAATCAGACTTACTCTGTTAACCTATCTAGCTTCAACAGCACAAACTCTGCTTCGACTATCAAGGCACCCCGGAAATAGCAGGTCACAAGAGTGTGACAAACATACAAAAGAAGTAGAGGAGAAATGACGATAGTAAGGATTAGGAAAGAAAAAGCAGCAGTTCCCTGTTGCAGTTCAGGCACAGTTGTGAGCATGATATTGATGAATTAGCCCGTTTACAATTACAATTCTACAGTGCATAAGTTAGAACTCTAGATTCTAGATATGTCCCACCCTTTGGGAATGGCCTAAAGACACTTCAGTCATTAGCACCACCCCGGGGGGTTAATCCACTCACTGCCACAGAAACTTATACAAACTTAACACAAAATCACCAGAATGATATTTCACATGAACATAATTATCCATAGCCCTCTTTCTCAGGATGTACAACAGAACCTGTTCAAGACAACCACCCACTGTGAGAAGAAAAATGATAAAGTTAGATGACAGGTGGTCTTCCTGGACAGTGCCATGATTTAGAACAAAATACAAAGTGGGAAGTGGTTATCTGTACAGATGACTGTCTTAGACAGGTAGTTACAGGAGTAGATTTGACAGTCATGTATATGAAGTTTCCGGACAAAACGGGACATCCATTTACTGAATAATCAGGAATAACTTCAGTTTTAGAGCAAACATGGTTAAGACTTTGACTTTTGCTAATTGAAGAAACCCATTTTCGATTCTTATCCTTTAAATCGATGAAAACTTTCACACATTTTCTGACAAAAGGCAACATATTCACGCCACGATGATAGGGAAGGGAAAGAAACACTGACAAACTTTCATCAATCACAAGAGAAGTCATGTGACTCGAAGAAAGAACTTGATTTTGTGCGTGGTTTATCAAAAAAGGTCTGCAGCTTTCGTCGCATAAAAAAATGGAATGTGCCTCACCTTTCTATATGAAAGTATGAGTTTCAGCCATACTTCGAAAATGGTGTTGGTCACGTTAATATTCACATTTTCATAATTTCTCATGGCGAAAGGTAGTGAACATATTCATCAGCCTTGTGTCAACATAAGTATCTGACACATTTATGCAAGAGAGTAGCCAATGTCCAAAACAAGACGAGACAAGAAAACTTACCGAAGTAGACAAACAACACCACCAAGGCTACAGCACACTCAATGCTGACCAGTATCTGGATGTAGCGAGTCTTGTTGAGGAACAGGCACCGGCCTGTGTCAGGGTTACAGTGGCTGTCCAGAACCTTGATCATAACCACCATTATGGCGTTGGCTGCAGACACAAATTCATTCTAGGCCATTTCCGACACAAAGGACTTTTAGTTTTAGTACGAGTTTTATGGCACTTACAATACATACAGGTAATAATAGTGCTGAAGATTAGAGGTGTTACTAGAGAGTAAGATACAAAAAAAAAAAAAAAAAAAAGAGGAGGGGAGATAAGGAAGATAAATTTTTTGATACAAAGGAAGGGGCAAACCATATCAGAGTACCATCCAACAACCCACGAACAATTTTACTGAACACACACGCCAACAACATCCTTTTCTACTGTCTGATTCACTCTGACTCATTCATGACGTGACACCAAAATAAATATTAAGCTTCAAACATAAACATATAAATACTGCAGATGTGCCATGATAATGGACTACGCCTTTTCAAATAACAATTTAGTAAAAATTAACCCCCCCCAACTCATTTGCATGTTTTTTCTCGACAAAATTTTCATTCTTTGCCGAACTTGGAACTTGTATTGGTACATTTACCTTGTTCTATGACATGGTAATGGTGGGCCATTGTCAGAGCAATTGAAGAGATATATAACCTGACATAGCCGCTATAACACACATGTGTGACAAACACAGATGGACAGATAGATCGATATTTCCTCCATATGGCAGGTAATAATAGAAAGTATTTGTATAGTGTAAATTAGTTATTATGCATTTTACAAACTATATCATTACCCTAGCCTGGGATGCAAACAGTGCAGGCTGCCATTCATAGGTGCTAAAAAACATACTGACAAGATCTTTCAATGTCAATGGCCGAGTACCCGTTCCCACCTGGGAGAAGTGACCCAAAGACGTGACGTCTGCCTGCGGCTCGAACCCCCCCCGAACCCGCAATCTCAGGCTTACTAGTCCGGTAGCCTTACCACTAACTATTGACGCCACACAAATTGTACACTTAACAGAATATTGCAAAGATGAATTTACGTGCTCCTGCTGAGCAGAGCCAAACAACGTACCACAGGAGTTGATCATGAAAGGAAGACGTCTGATGTTCCTGGTTTTGCGGTAAAACTCGAGGTAGCCCTGCAGACGGCTCTTGTCGTGCCTCTGATGGAGGAAGCGATCGAGCAGGAGCAGGATGAACCACATCCCGCCATGGATGTAGAGCGTCAGGGAAATTGGGTCTTCGCCACACGTACAGTTGGAGCAGACAATGGGAACCACATACGCGGAAACGCCCAACAATACCTATTGACAGGGAATGGAAACACAGAAAAATACAGGTTAACCATTTTATACACAGGTGGCAAACAAGCATCAATATCAGACCATTTTATTCATGAGTCCAAGATCATCCTATGCATTGACAGCTGATACCTGCTTCTTAATGAGAGGTCTTAAACATGCGGCCAACATGAGGATATTTTGCAGCCACTTTTTAACATGACCCACAAGTTTTTCCCATATGTGAAACATCGTAGTGAAATCAGGCTCTAGTCAGAATAATGAAATCGGAGAAAATTGGCATTTTCATGCCGTTTTGAAAATCTTTACAGAATTTTTGTTTTTTGGCTCAAAACCTTTTATGTCCATTTAAAAACACATTTCTAAGCGTATATCCCTGAAAAATGTTGGCTAAAGACACAAAAATGATAATGTTCAGTTTCCATGGACTCTCAAGCTATGAAAGTTATCAAACGTTGGCAGCCATTTTCTCGGTTATTTTACCAGGCAACCCACATCTCTTTCAATCGCAAATATCTCCACTTCTTTTCAAGATGGTATTTTTTTTCCATCAAAAGATAGACAAATGAACAGGCTGTAAGATTATATCAATAATTCACAAAGCCCAAAAATTTACCAACACCTGATTCCACCGCATCGTGACACATATATGCACCTTTTAGTCAAAGTGTTGCTCTGGATACTCACACAGCTCAGGCTTATGACAGAGTCCAGAGGGGAAGAGCCGTTCATGTTTAGAACTGCTATTAAAGTGACAAGATAAGGTCAGTTGCGCTTTAAAAAAAAAAAATAATAAAAACTGATACTCCTGTTCTAAAAACAATAATTGAAAACAGATGCAGAAGAAAGTTGAAATGATAGAGGGAAAAAAAAGCACTTAAGCCACTATCCCTTTTACTTTTAAAGAATGGATTATTTATTGAATTTGATTACAATAACAGTGTACAGATGAGCGAACTAAATAGTGAACTACTTACATAAAGAATCTTTGCCAGCCAAATGGCCCATGTGGTCCTCATGGGTTTGTGCACCATCTCATGGCCCGAGACCAGCTCAATATGATCCACAATGAGCTCATCGTCTGAGCCCATCGAATTGATGGTCGGACGATCATCAGAAAAGCCGAAGTAACCCTGTATCCGAGAGACAGAAACTGCTTACACTTTTACACATTACATACTATTTCAAAATAAATAATACGTTAACCAATAGAACCATCAAAAACAAATCTACAATGCCCTGTATTCAGTTCAAAGCACACACCAAACTACAAGATCTAAACTTAACAAGCCAACAAGGGGCTCTTCTTCTTCAAAATTCACAGTAGTGGATGTTACAGACTACAACAGGGATGAGCAAACTTTTCCGATTGGGAGACCACTTCGATGGGGCCATAAACAGCAAACGGCCACACCTTCCACTAAAAGTGAGCAAGATAACTTATTTCATCAACAATAAAAATACATTTTCAGACATAAAATAATTTTTTTTAAAATTGTAAAAAATTGAGCAAATTAGCCTTACGCCCTATTACCACAATCCCGCAAAAGTAAATAAGACGTTTAAGACTGGAAGATTGCCTTCAAATTTCCTCGTACTCGTATGGAATGTTTTATTTAGACTAGTGGATCCAGGTACATGCAATAAGGTAACGAGTGACCTTCAGATTTCTCTAATAACTTTTGTTTGCTGTCATTTTCCATTTTAAATTTCACCAGAAACGTTTCGGTATCTTTATTCACTTCTTTTTGCTAGCCTTATAAAGGAAGTTCCATGCTTGTTTTTTGCTCAACAGCATCTCTTCTGGAAGTGCTGCTGTCCCTCAAGACGAATATAAAAAAGTTACACAGGGTGGTGAATATTAAAAAAAACAGAGAACATAAACAGTCACAAAGGCACAAGGTAATGGATTTCATTTTTTAATTGAAGTCCGACAATAAAGCACCCACGACCGACCGAGGCAGACATTTCTTATGATTTTTTTTCTTTCCCTCCGCCCGGCAAACAGACACACTAGCTTTGAGGGCCAAACAGCTGTGTTTCCCGTTGCTAATAATAATAATAATAGAAGATAATAGATAGCATTTGTATAGCGCATATCCCCGCTCAACAGCAGGCTCTATGCGCTTTACACTATATTATCACACAAATGACAATTTTTATGAAAACTGAAACCGTCACAAATCAATTATTTTTGAAAATTTCAAACTTAATTGCAAAACAAGCACGTACACAGATTTGTACATTCAGTCCCCCACACAGGCGCACTGCTTTTGACGGTCAAACTGAAGTACTTAACTCTTTGAAGACGCGTGAGCGGATAATCCGCTGTTAGGGGAACTCACCGGTCGCCGTATCAGCGGATAATCAGCTGACGATTTTAAACATGTTTATTTGCAAAACTAGTGGTCTAAGGTGGACGACCCCTATATCATTGGAAAGCTCGTCTAAAACCCTATGATTTCCTTAACTTGCTTTCAAATTAGGATAGCTTGGAAGGCGTTTATTTTAGGCCCATTGTTTCGCACGAAATGTCGCAGCATCTATCCAAAATGGCGAGCTCCAGGCGACGTGGTGTGATGCGGACTGAAGAAACTTTGGAGTTGTAGAACGATGGCAGAGATGAGCAGTTCGATTGAGAGTTAGAAGAAGAAAGTTCAGAAGATAGTGATGATGAACCTGTACCATTGGTTGGTAGATCTAGATCTACCAGACCCCCAAGTCTCATCTCGTCAATTTTGTTTCCTTTTGAAGGCAACTATAGTGATCTAGCAGCCTTGATCAAGGTAAGACTGGTATTGTGAAAGTATGATTGATTGGTATAAGAGAAAAATAGAGAAATAATACTTTTTAGTGGTGTAAGTGTGATTTTTGTTCTGTTGATAGGAAAAAAAAAGGTGACCTGGTAAAACGGGCAAAGAAGGTGCGTCACAGGGTATCGAGAAAATGAAAGTGGTGTGTCTTCAAAGAGTTAATACTGCAGACCACACATAAGGCCACTAAAACTGATATAAAAATTTTAATAAAACAAGTTGGAATACAACCCCCCCCCCCCCCCATCAGATGATATATTTCAAAAACAAATAATTTGCGACGGACATAAAGTCAATCAATATTCAAGTAAAACAAATTTTTAACAAATAAGGAAAGTGCTATATTATACAATACCTGAGCCTGAAACAGGAGTGAAAGTATAATAACTAACTTTTAAATAATTTAATAACAAATTGATCGTGTTACAACAGAGCAGAATTAAATAACAGAAAACAATGCCTAATCATGGAAATCAGAGGGTCAAATCTTACTTTAATACCTAAAAGCGCACACAATCTAAATATAAAACATTTGTGAGATATCATGTGGTGAAATCAAGCACTCATTGAAACAATGACATCGAAAGTAATTTTTCCTCCACTTTGGTAATTTTAACGCAGTGATTACTTTCACGGCTCCGTGAACGTAGTTTGCAGGCTATGTTCACAGCGCCCTGAGCGTAGTTAGCGCATTATAAACTTTTTGAAGACGTATCGCCGTGTCAGCGGATAAATAATTTGGTTGATTTCCTTATCCTTGCTTTCGAATTAGGATAGCTTTGCATGGCGTTTGTTTTTAGCCCATTGCTTCGCACGAAATGTCGCAGTATCCATCCAAAATTGCAAGCTCCAGGCGACGACACGGCTGTTAGGAAGCGGTACTTTAGTTCGCAGGCAGCGAGTGCGCCACATTTTGTAATCTGACCCCGGTAGCGGGTCATGAACTCGTGGCCAGGTAAATTCAACGTGTCCTGCTGACAGCGTTGTTAATTTCATTCTTAGGACAATTAAACTCGCAAAATATGCCGATCGGTGACTTTGCCATCATTTTGTTTTGCCTGTTTGGAACAAGAGGGAACTTCTGCACTTACTGAGAAAGATGCAAAATTGTATGAAATAACGATAAATATATATAGCGTTCCAAAAATGGCTCATTTTCTAACATTGCCATTGGTGGGGGGGGGGTGTAGATTTTTAAATCAATATTTCAGTCAGACGAAACCCCAAAAAATGTTTCAAATTCACATAAAATACACCAGAAATAGTCAAATATTAAAACTCACTTAGTTGTTTTTGTGCCACGTCCACAGTTTTGGAGAAGTGAAGAGTTGATTGCAGTATCACATTTTTTTCTTTGTCGGAGGCACGTTGGATAATAGTTCTGAATTTGGCATGAGGTGCTGAGATTGCATTACAACTTTCAGCAGTGGTTCGATATTACGTATCCCAGCTCCTTTTCTCTCTAGCTTTGCCACAGAAGCATGGATACGTTCACCACCCTGTTCCCCATGTAAAGCCAAACCAAACCCATATGTCTGTATCCATGGGATGCAGTGGTTTTCTAGAATGTGGTGTTCGGGAAGTACCTTTTCACTAAAGTGTCTCCTGTATAATGACATGTAAGTTTTGATACATATGTCAATGTGTGGTAGTCTGTCTTTTGACACTGGTTGGCTGTGTGAGATGTGGATGCGAATGCCCCTAAATGCGTTGTTTATGCGACTCATTATATATTTGCGGCAGTGATTGCCAATGAAAGAGCGGCTGTGATGTGCCTGCGGTGTGACGTTGTGTGAGTCTAGTATGGTGTCTAAATGAGAACAGATAGGGCCAGAACAGGGTTAAGGGGTTCATGCTCTAACTCAGACAACCTGTCTTCTTTCTCCGTCAATTGCTCTGGAAAGTCAATTCTCTCCTGTTCAGAGTCAGAAAGTACTACGCAACCTTCTAAATGTCTAATCTCCCCATTTAGTTCCTCGATCCCCACGGCTCCAGTTTTTGCCATAATGTATAGTGACAACTAAACTCCTTTATAGTCTTCCTCTGATTGCTCACTTAGCTGTATTAATGTCTATTGTGTGTTTTGCTGCCTCTAGCAAACGATGGTGGTTGAAAACAACACCCTGAACAAAATGCAAGTATGGTGGTGCTACTTTACCGTGTTCAATGTTTATAAGTGGGAGGTGTAAACTGTAGAGTAAACGAGCATCAAGAGTACTTTCAGAAAAAGCAGGCGGTTATAGTGCCCTGATAGCAATGTTTCTTTAAATTCTTATCTTGTCCACACAAACTGTGCAGATGGTTTTTGAATGTACTGTCAGTGAGTCCATTGTAATGCTAACACCAGAGGCCAAGAAAATGTCTGACGAAAAATTTATAACACTGCAGGGGTCGCCTTTTCAGTGCCTTAGTGCGTGCCTGGCAATATTCTGCCACCACAAGTCCTATAATGTTCGCGCAGCTTTTGAAAATGCGAATCCTCTGTATGTTTCTCCATTTCTTAACTGGGCTAAAACATTCTTTAAGATCAAATAGAGAAATGTTGGAAAGATAAAGCGCGATTCTAAAGTTAAGAAGAGAAATGAAAGATCACGTCCGAGGGAATCACAGGGGAGGGGTACCCTTTTAAAAAAAATCATATAAAATCACACATTCGCCTTGCACAAATAACACTTGCTCACACAGTTCAAGTATTGCTGTCTCAAGTGAAGCACAGAAATTTTGAGAAAATCGTGGGTTTGGCTTTTGAGATAATTAACTCCAAAATGGAATATAATTTAAAATGCAACTTTAGATGAATAAAACACTTGTACTGCAAAGTGTGTAAATGCTATAACACCAGTGAGATTTCTGGAGCGAAAATGAATTACCAGAACCGAGTTACACAGGCACGGCGGCCGGCATCGCTATCGTCACGGTTGTTAAGCGCGGGAGTGGCCGACTGACACTGATTTATTATCTTCGCGCGGGAGGTCAGACCGGGGCTCGGTCACCAACTAAAGTACCACTTTCAGTGGGATTTTAACAGCCTTGGACATGGTTTGATGCGGACAGAAGAAGTTTTGGAGCTGTTTATGGATGATCCCAGGGTATCGAGAAAGAGAAAGTGGGCGCGTCTCTAAAGAGTTTTAAAAAGCTTTTCTCTGGGGCTGCACTGCAGTCAACTTTGTGAATTTTGAGTTTGACACCTGACATTGTATCATTTTTGTGAGCTCTTCAGTTTTATGTTAATTTTAATTTTCATATTTTTACACTTTTGAAAATGTATGTGAGTGTTCCTTGATGTGAGTTCACTCACTTCAGACCGTAAGCCCTGCGTGATCAACTTTGGAATTTCGCTCCACAAATCACGCAAGGATCGCGTGACCCGCCTCGTACCCTTGTTTGGCCAGGCCTGAGCTACTTAGACTTCGTTTCGTATCCCTGGGGCCGGCAGTTTTAAGTATTGAAGGTGAAGGACAGTCACCCCAACTTGGGTTGAACTGACCGGAACTCGCGCTGTGTTTTTTCCTATACAGCTGATAGTAATCTGACAGTCGCGTCGTAGTAATGGTCGCATGAACAAGAATCACATAATTTCGCCGTTTTCGATATACACTTCTGTACGTTTTACTAGTTCTAGACTCTAGTTTCTCAGAATATGATTTGTCTGATAGTTAGTATGTACCCGAACATGGCCCGAGTCGTAGTTTTAGGGCTAGATCTTGCACTAGTACAGGTGTTGTTGTTCGCGTAACGAAATCCCAACGTCGTTCCGGAAATCTGTCTCATGTAATTCAGTGCATGGGTCTGATTCAACGCCCAGACCAGCTTTTATATTTTCACCAAACACTCACATATGCATACAAATCAAAACAGAACACTTTGAACCTTTAAAATTTTTTGTTGTTGTAGTGAATTTCATTCTACCTGTCACGTCTCTGGAAATTTTTCGGAAAATCAAATTCATGCCAATTTTTAAAAAATCATACAAATTAATTAGACTTAGACAACTTTAGTTTTTTTTATTAGATTAAGCTTGAATGTTACTTTAATGTGTCAAAAAATAATTACAATCTTGGGTAATTCTGAGAGTTGTGGTGGTTTATTGTTCAAAATATTCCCAAAAACGCCAGTTTTAAACGCTTGTGACTTGTGAAAGGGCCCAGTGGTAAGTGAGTTAAAAGAATAAAGATGGAAGTGTACAAAAAAACAAAAAAATTAAAAAATATAAAATATTAACTCAATCTTCAGATTGCCGCGCAATTATACTATCGTAAAAACGGGCAGCGCAATCTTAAGAGGGCCGCGCAATTACTTAAGATTGCGCGGATCGGTAAATTGCATGGAACATGGTGGATCTAGATCTATCGATTTCAGCATGACTTACTAATTGGTTGCTGATTATCCAAACTGATTCTTCTGCTGTCATTTTAATATAGATCTATGTGTTGCGACGCGGCGGAATCAGGCGCTCGTCAATTTTAGAATCTAGGGCATATATAGACCATGGAGTTATCGGTTTTATCTTAAAGTAGCAATTTAATACCACACTCCGGCAGTGCAAAAACTCGGTAGACCCTTTGCCCCAGCCAGGGGCAACCCAGGGAATATGCTTATCAGGATGTTCTTGGTCATGTAGGAGGAAGAGATAAAAAGAACACGACGAAAGACAGCAGAAGTTAAAGTTGGTCTTGGATCAGATGAACAAAGCCATTTTGTTTTTCCCGGAAGTTCTCGCACTACTCCTCTCTCTCTCTTTCTCTCTCTCTCCACTGCCCACAAACAAAATTGGGCGCTTTTTCAGTAGTTCCCACCCTGCACTTGTTATTCGCGGGTTTTGGCCCCAAGAGCCAAGAGTAGGCTGAATTTTACCAAAATTTGATGTTTTGCAGTTGTTAGGTTTGATATCTTAGATCGCCGCGCATCAAACATATATAGATCTCGATGTAGATCTAGGCTCAAATAAGGGGGGTGGGAACTACCGAAAAAGAACCCAAAATTACACGCTTTTACTTTTAGGCTAACAGCAGTAATGGAACGTTTGTTCACGGCACAGAATTTTACAATTCTGTTATCACCTAGAATTCTGTGGTTCAGGGTGAACGCTACACAGGTTGGCCTAGGCTATAACGGTGAATGCCACACCGGGTGAGAATAGCCAAAAGACTCGCCTGCGCTATAATTGAATATGGCATTTATTTTATAGGGTGGCCTTACTACTTACTCTAAATGAGAAGTGTGAGTTTTCTAGATCTAAACTCTGATCTACTCTGGTTCGGATGCACTCATCGAAACAAGACAAATTAGATATACTTACGCCAGAATGGCCGGCATTGTTCGCTAGGCTGACCATGTTTACATCAACGGATGGCTCCTTGCAAAAACAAACCTCGTGACCACGCTATAATTTCTTTGTTGGGATGTTTACATCAGCTAGGTTACTCAGTGGTGACCATGTCCGACAACCCAGAAGCAGCTGATCTATTCGATGCTCCAGATTGAGCAGGCATTTTGACAAAACACCATAGATTTACACTACAGCCAAGACTGAGTACATGTATACCCACTGACATACCTTGTCTTTGGCTACTAGGCACTAGGTTTAAAAAGGAGATAACTCTATGCAAAACATCGAGACAGCTAATTCCTTCTTTCTTTTTCCTTTTCTTGAGCACACCCCAGTATTCAGTAATCACCATCTTGGTTCAAACAAAGAAGCAGTATATTTGTTATGGAAAGTGTGCAGTTTTGAAGGCTTACAATTAGCAACTGTTACGTGGGGCAATAATGCCTTGGGCATAGATTCATTAACAACAATCTGTTGCCGTCGCATGTTGAACACATAATACATAGGCCTAAGCATGATTATCAAAATGCATGGGGTTTATCTCTCTCCTTTAGGAGAGCTGGAAATTTCTACAATTAATTGTACAGCAACTTTTGAAATTATAATGATTATTATGACGATGCAAGATTGTATATCTGCATTGCTTTCAAAATCTGGGGCAAGATGAGACAACTGTAAGTTACCGGTATCTCTATTTAGATGCAGGCAGCAGTTAAAAACACAATAGATTCCGTAGTGACTTTTATTTGGTGTATCAAAATTCATCAAAATAATAATTGTACTTGTACCCATCTTCCCTGCTTTTCTATAATATTTTGTTGTCTTGTATTGTCATTCAGTTATTTGTTTGACATGAACTGGTTGCCATGTTTTGATTCTCCGGAAAGGCCTGATTTCTTCTTGTAAAATTAAACTTTACCGAATGCGCTTTAGTGCGTGCAAGACCTTAAATTAATTGCACAACAATAATATTATTATATGCGCAGTCACTTGAGTATTTCATCTCTTGCTTTTCTCTTTAACAAACTTCCAGCCTTCTTTTCTACACATTTTAATAATAATAAATATAGCCAAAGGGAGAGAGATACAACTAAAAAAAGGGAGATAAGGAGACGGAATGGAAGAGGGGAGGGAGGGGGCGGAGACACATACACACTCACATTGAGAAATTTATAACGCAAGAAACATAAAACTTAGAGCGTGTGTTTTGGTGTGGAGTTGTTCTTGTTGTTGTTTTTGTTGTTGTTGTTGTTCTAAAGT